AGGGTTTAGGGTTTTGGGTTTCAAGGGCAGCAAAACTGAGAGGCGCTTAATATAGAGGCCTAAATAGTTACTAATATCATTGCTAGGGTTGCTTGTTATGAATGTACTGTAACGGAGCCCGAAACCCTATTCTAATTATTAAGGCCCCTATGTTAGGGCTGAAGCTTGCAGGGCTTTCTTTGTTTCGGGCGAGTAGAGCTTCAATGATACGAGACGTTCGACCTTGCCTGTTGCTGGTTGACTACAAATATTTCTCTTAGGGTTCCTTACTATATGTCGCGGTTTAAGGTTCAGAGTTTAGGGTTTACGCTTTAGGGTTTAGGGTTTAGGGTATACTATGAAAGTCCCCAAACCCTGTTAAAACTATTAAGGCTCCTATGTTAGGGTTTCCAGTTCCAAGGTTCGGGTTCTGGAGCGTATTTTTTACAGCAGATTCTAGCAATATAACAGTGGTATACAAGGAATATCGTATGTTATAGTAATATGCTATAGTAGTTCGTATAGTATATTCTAGCAATATGTTATAGCAACCACTCAGCCATATTCTACACTGCAGCATCGGCATCGAAGCCGAGCTCCCATAAGGGTGTCTGCAAGGCCTCCTTCAAGGGCTCCTTTAAGGGTACCCTAAGTTGAGGGTTAAGGGGCCCAAAGAGTTGGCCTTCAAGCATTCCCTACAAACTTTGGGGCCGAACTATGTACTATTTGACTACATGGACCCGTAGGGTTAGGGTTTCCCTGAGGCAGGGATGAATGAGGGGTCCATGTGTCGAGGGGCTCTGACCATTCTGATGAAGATCCAACTGTCATGTGTATCCCTAAACCCTAAACCCTAAACCCTAAACCCTAAACCCTAAACCCTAAACCCTAAACCCTAAACCCTAAACCCTAAACCGATTAGATTCGAGTCTACGGGGTTTATGGCCCCTTAAAGTCCCTAATGTCGCTGAGAGCACCTTTTGCGGAGCCGCTTTAATGCTAAAGTATACTGATGCAGCCCCCTATACCCCGATGCCTACTCCATCCTGTCACAAAGCAAATCTGAACCATAAACCGTAGACCCTAAACCCTCTGACCATAAAAAATGCTGTAAGCCTAAATCCTATATAAACCCTAAACCCTGAAAGCCAAAACTCCCTGAACCCTAAATCCTGAAAGCAGAAAACGTCCTTAGAGCCCTAAACCCTAACCCCTAAACCCTAAACCCTAAACCCAGAAGGCAAAACACCAAAAAACTCCAGCTCCAGGAATCCACGAGGCGTGTGGCACGTTGGACTCCCCCGAAGGTGCTGGGCTCCTACTGAACATCGGCCGCTAGAGCTGCAGCCTAGAAGCTCTTTAAACCCTAAGTTTAAGATTTAGATAGATCTTATATTATATATATATATTTTTTTTCTGTTTATTTATATTTACTTTTATTTACAGGCCCTAAGGAGCTTGGGGATCAAAATGGTTACCTTCCCATGGTCTGCGTAGTGTCCGGCCTTAGGTATCATGCGAGTTGGTCGGTGGTTTAGGGTTTCAAGGTTTGCAGGCATGGGCTCCACCTGGTTTAGAGGGAAAAGGTGTTGAGGTCAATTGGGGGTCTAGGGTTCAGGGGGATTTAGGGTTTAGGGTTTAGGGTTCAGGGGGAAGCGATTTTCTAGACCTCGGTACCACCGCAAACTCATAAGAAGGACCAGTGAGGCCTTCTAGCAGGGTAGATCGGAAGATTGTGCAACCTGATGTAGGGCGTAGGGCCTGCTTTTCTCGGTGTTCAAGCACTGGGCGTGCACCGAGACCCTAAATCTCTAACCCGTACTCCGTAAAAAAGGGGTCTCAATAATTTGAATAGGGCTTCGGGTTTATTATACCATCATGATAATAAGGAACCCCAAACCCCTATTCAAATTATGAAGGCCCCTACACTAAACCCCAAACCCTGATAGAGGATTCCGGTGATTGGGTTTACGCCGGAGAGCCGAAGGATTAACTTGGGAACCCCCGACGAGAAAACCCTTACCCTAAGGATCCATGTACCCTGGTAGTATTTATGCCTTAACTACCCTAAACCCTAAACCCTAAACCCTAAACCCTAAACCCTAACCTTAAAAGCGCCTCTAGAGGCACATTGTTCAGGCCGAAAACATATACGATTTGTGTACATGGAGCCTTAAACTTAAAACCCCCTTCTAGCACCCTAACCCTAAACCCTAAACCCTTCTAGAACCCTTAGGGCACCCTTAAAGGAACCTGTATAGGAACCCTTCTGGCACATGGCGCCTTACATAAATTAGGGGATCATGCGACTTCGTAACTGGGGTTATAAAGAAGGTGACCATACTTACGATTACTTATAACTCCAATTAAGCTTTGAGATAAGTATAGCTGTACTTAGATAAGTATAGCTGTACTTAGTAAGTCCCATGGTTGTAATACCCTTATAGAAACCTTATAGAAACAGTGTAGAGTCTAGGGTTTAGGGTTTAAGGCCTCAAAGATTATAGATCCTTTTACCGAGCCCTTGAAGTTATGAAGTCCAGTCGCGCCTCCAAGTAAGGAGAAAATCTTCACGAGACTCCAGGATGCCCTGATGAAGAAGATATCTGAAAATATGAGATGATCCCTAACCCTAAGGGTCCATGTACCTAAATGGTATATACATTGGCCCTAAAGTACCTATATAGGGACTACATTAAGGCCAAAGTATAAACTATTTGGGTACATGGACCCTCAGGGGAAGATATCTGAAAGTATGAGATGATCCCTCATGTGATTTACGGTATATTATTGGTATATTCCTTTAATTAAGGGGTTTAGGAGTCTCTAGACCCGAAGATAGGAGCCCTTATAGTCTTATTCATAGTACACCCCAAAGAGTTGAGAACCGGACTAAGGACAACTAGTGCTGGGATTCCCTATACATTACTCTTAATGATTGAGGCTCTTGGGTTTTCAATTTTGGGGGTCTTCTACTATATAGGAATCCCTTAATTAAGGAACCCTTCAACCTACCCTTGAAGGACCCCCTAACGGAACCCTCCACACGGCTCTGCCCTTCAAGGCTGTTTTCGGCAGATGCTCGGCGACTTCACCGGAGCTCTCCGTGCGATGGAGGGCGCCAGGGAGATCAGGACGTCCCTAGAAGAAGCCCTGCGAAGCAGTACCCGTGCTTAACTAAAAGACCTCTATGAAGCCCAATGTCTATCTTACCTTATCAAGCTCTTGACTCTTGACCCAAAAGAGGCAGAAACACACACTCACACAAAATAAAAGCAACACCAACAAACAAAAAGACAACGCGTGAGGGCACACACCCTGAGCCCTACACCCTGAACCTAAAGCCCAAAGCCTAGACGCTCAACACTAAACCGTAAACCCCTAAACCCTAAATCCTATTGAGAGCCCTCAGAACCCGCACCGGCACAGCGAGCTCCATTGAAGCGGCGGAGCTGCTGCGGGCGATGGGCAGCGTCTACTTGGCCCAAGGTGGCGGGCTTGTTTATCTTGTTCAGAATGAGAGGGTCTTTAAGGGATAGCTGTGGGATAGCGACGCGGAGGTTTTTGTATGGTTACATAAGGGTTTCTACAGGGACTGATGACTTTGGCAGGGGGTTAAAGGGTGCTAGCAACAAGATTGTACAATGGTCTGTACAAATTAGTTCTTACAAGGGCTTACAGGGTGTGCGAGGAGTCCTTGTAGGGGTTTATAAGGGGGTGTGGGCTTTGCGTTTTATTGCAGCTTTGGGGGTTAGACTGATGATTTTTGTTGAGGGTTTGGGGCTTTGAGGTTTTAGGGTTTTGGGGTTGGGCGAAGTTGTAGGTTTTTTGTTTATCCATGGTTGTATACGCGATGGGGCTTCAGCTGAGTTTCGATCGGCAGTTATAAGCCAGCCCTCTTCTCGGAATTTTTTCATGAGAAACTCTTACTCGCCCCCACACGCTAGATCATAAATTAGCGTGTACCTTTAGGGTGTAGGGTTCTGAGCCTGTGCCCCGAATGGAATCCTAAACCGCAACCCGAAAGCCTCAACTCTAACCCTAAATCCAAAACCAAACGTCCACCCTACCCCCCCCCCCCCCCCCCCCCCCCTAAT